TTATACGTTTGGGTTTAGCAACCCAGACGGAAGGTTCCTCTCTCCACCCTGGCAGTTATCTTCCCTCTTTTAAGAAGGGAGCTCTATCTGAAAAGGTGGCCGCTGACATTCTACACAAGTTTGTCAATAGAGCGGCCGTTTTGATGGATAAAGTCAAAGCGGCAGAGAAAGTTCTGCGAGAACTGAATGTACACACAACTGCTGACTATTGGGGTAAACCCTTTGTGAACAACAATCGTGTTACATTGTCCAAGGAAGCACAAGCTTCTCTTAATGCTGAGTACAATCTACTCCTTGTCAATGTAATTCTCAATGACAAGGTTAGTGTGATTGCCAAGGCTCAAGAGGAACTTGATCAAACCCTTCCGAAAAACCTATCTGATGCATTACAGGCATCATTGGTCTCTATTGAGACTAATGACCGTCTTACAATGCAAGGTAAGGACTATACTCGCACCCTTCTTAAGGCGGCTGCACAAGAGTTTGTCACTCAAGTACAGGCGCTGAGGGTTACCGCAGAACTTGAGGCAGTTAACAATGGATTAAAGGTACTCCATCAAATTGTCTATGACTGGTTTGCCCCGAGATTACATGCTATTCTCATTTCATCTAACCAATATCTTACTTCACCACGCTTAGAAAATCAAGCTGAACAAGACTTCCGCAAAGCGCGGAAAAGGCAAATCACCCCCTCACAAGCGCAAGAACGAACTTTCCAAGTTCAAGGGCCCAAAAGGCCCCGCGCCCAAGAAGGGGAAGAACAACAAGAAGAACGGACCCAAACCCAAAGGACCCAAGAACCATCCCAAAGGGAAACATCCGTCCGCGAAGGCAGGCAACCAAAGAAGCCAAAATGGCGCGCGCCGAAACGCAGCCAGAAAGAAGTAATTCATCGCGATGTCCAAAGTTTTGATGGAGTAAACAACATTTCTTCCATCACTACTATTCCACATGATATTCTTATTGTTCTAAATAAAGGAGTCAACTTCAACATCCATAAACAGCCCAGGTATGATCTGTTAACAAAAGAGGTGTTGAAATTGAAAAAAACAAATGTTTAAACAGCTTAAAAAAGCCGATAAATATATCACAAACATTCACTTCAATGCGAACAAACCACAATTAATATCTGACTTAATTACATTGAGATCTTCAAACCCGCATAAGAAACTCCTTCCAAAAATCAACAAGACCATCAAGTTTATGACAGACAATAAACTTATCATTGGCCCTGCTGATAAAAACTTGGGGCTGACTATTATGGATAGCAGCTGGTATCAGAACCAGTTGTTTAATCTTCTTAATAATCGTAATCTTTATGAAAGAGACCCCTATATTGATGTCTATGTCTCCCTTAGGCATCTTAAACAATTCGCCGCACGTCTTGATCAAGAAGAACACAGAGCTTTTGTTCGTGAAACTGCGGAAATAATGGAGGACCTATATAGAAAAAATAGTAACTATTTTACAATACCAGTTATGTATCTTCTTCCAAAGATTCATAAGTCGCCTATTAGCGTCCGCCCTATAGTGCCCTCCTATCCCTGGTTTACACATACGATCAGTGAGTTTGTCGATGAACAACTTCGCGATTACTTGGTGGTATTCCGCCAAGAACTACCCGATACACCCACATTGATTCGTAAACTAGAACAATTCCATTTCAATCCAAGCTATGATTATTATGTCGCCACATATGATGTCATAAACATGTATGGAAGTATAAATGTAAATAATGCTATAGAAACTATCATTAATTACTTTGATAATGATCCAAGAGAAAACCACATCAGAGATATGATGAATCTTGCTTATTGGGTTAATAAAAACTGTATTTTATCCGATGGTAAAAAACTATACAGACAAGTTACAGGACTCGCAATGGGGACGCCTATGGCGCCAACTTTTGCTCGCCTGTATGCATGCTGCGTAGAGAAAGGCTACATATTTAAAAATATACCCATTGACCAAGTTTACTTGGACATTGATGAGGATACTTTTACACAACTTGACTTTCTTGGCAAACAAAAATTCGACTTGCAAATACTTAGATACATTGATGATGGGCTTGCCCTATTCGGTGTTCCTAGATACCAAGGAAATGTAGTTTACATGACCGAGGTAGCATCAGATCTTAAAGGCTACTTTAATGAAGCACTTTATAAGATCTATGAAGAAGCAAACGACTTGAACATTACTATAGACCATGGACTCCATGGCCGCCAAGTAGCAATGCTTGACTTAAATATTACTATTGTTACTGAGAACTCAATTCAACGTATTGACATTAGTCCTCATGACAAACCCATGAATAAACACCTATACACTAGTCCAGATACTTATTTCCCTAATAAATATATTTTCAACTGGATTAATGGTGAAAACCAGCGTTTAATCCGGAACTCCGGCTATGCTAGTTATCACAAAGTTGCAAGACAGAACTTTATTAAGTTCCTCATACACCGCAACTATCCTGAACCCGTCATTCAAGAACAACTCGGAATGCACAGTTACGAAGAACGACATCAGTTGTTGTATGGTCGTACTGCTCAGAGCCAGGCTCCCGCCGATTATAATCCACCATCAGATAAAGATGAGGATGATGATATTGAAAAGAGATTCTTTTTAAAGAATATTCCTGGTAGACACAAAGTTGAACGCTTTGGTCGTAACGTAGTTCAGGCTATCCTAAAATCCAATCCCACTAAATTTAAAGATGTTAGTGCAAACTGGATAATCTATAGAGGTTCAAACATCCGCGATGAGTTGAACAAGTATAATAGAAAGATCTTAGGTCAACGCCAAATCTCGGCGAGGCTCTAAGGATGACATACAATGAGTATTAATCGTCTATCTAGACGTTATACCCAGAACCCCATATCTTACACTTGGTTTTAATTGAATATATATTTTATGGGATTTAATAGAGTTAGGTAATCTTAGGTTTTTTGAGGGAGTCTTAGCGGTAAGGGCTAGACTTGATCCTCTTTGACCCCGATAAAAAACCCTTAAGAAACCCTAAATAACCCTAAAAAAAAATCCCTAAAATCCCTAAACCCTTAATTGAAGGGTATCCTTCAATGTAATCCCCTAAATAAACACGTTTATCGTACTCCCCGGGTCCTAAAGTAGACCCTACATACCTCACAAACAACTTTTAAACACTTTTTGCTGGAAAAAGAATTATTTCCTTTTTTGGGAAACAATACCGGTTCTCTAGGCTTTCCCTAGACTCGGAACGGCTCGGATCTAAACAGGTTTTAGTCGGCTCGGCCCGGATGTAAAACTGCAAAGTTGTTTTGAAAGTCGAAACTTTAATTTAAAGTTTCGACTTTACCCCCTATGATAGTTTCACCCATGACCATCCTTTTAAGTTTGTCGACTTTCAGACAGACTTGGAGTCATCCGGAAACAACTTGAACCACATCTTTTTGTTGAAAGACAAGGTCCCCTTCGTTCTACTTCCCGTTAAAAAGACGTCAACAGAACTTAAGTCAACTGACACCGGGATAGAAAGTATGGCACATGTACTCAAACTCGAAAGATAATTGGTTCATATCATAATAATCAAGATATGTCTATCCGTAAACAAATACTGCGGATTAGAAATAGTTCACCCTTCTCAATGAGAGAAAGAGAATGGTGAAAAAGTATATAAGAAGACAAGGCTGAAGAGAAAAAATCGAAACAAGCACTTGTCCCAACGTCTTCTTTCTTTTACACACTCTCAGTCCCTTAAACACCTTTTTCACACCCCTCCTATTATAAAAAAACCCTAAAAAACCCTAAAAAACCCTAAAAAACCCTAAAAAACCCTAAAAAAACCCTAAAAAACCCTAAAAAACCCTAAAAAACCCTAAAAAACCCTAAAAAACCCTAAAAAAACCCTAAAAAACCCTAAAAAACCCTAAAAACCCCTAAAGTTCCACAATGCATGCACCCTCAGCACTATTGCATTACCCATATTTGTTTAAAACATTCACCTAGGAGGCCTTTCACGTCCAAGTTATCATATGGTGTTTGTTACATCTCTGTAGATCTCGACAATATCCATAGCGACTATGGGATGAGAATATATATATGATACCAAGCATATAAGACAACCATTGTAACATTTTTTGTTTAACTATTCTACTAAACACCAACCTATTCTCCAATCAACAAAGTCTTTTTATTTTTCGCACACCAAACTCTTGAATATGTCCATCTACTATTAACCTGTAACCCTTACTGCAAGATTCGACAGAGTAGTTCTTGTATGTGATCATCTAAAGCACTTGTATTCCCAACTGTATCTTTGTCGTGAAATACAGGGGAGAGATTACATTTTAAAAATTCTTGTGCTGTCTATTGCTATTTTATTCTGTGTTCTGTTGCCCACTATGAAGAGATATGCCAGTTATGGAAGTCAACACTCCGTTCCTTGGACTTTGGATATTTTTTATATGCCTTTTTATATCCTCTGCACATGAAGGGGCCGCAAAGGGTACCATGGTGGAGTGAGTGTTGGGGGCAGTGGTGGTCGAGTCGATGGCAATTGAGGAGGGAGTACGAGGCGAGGCAGGGATGGATGAGGGAAAAAGGGAGAGTGAAGGAGGAGAGAAGGAGAGTTTGTGTAGGCTATGAGGTGCGGATGTGGTAGTGCGAATAATGGATACAGAGGGGGGAGTGTTTTTGATAGCAGAATTTTTATTCTTGGAACTGTAACTTAACTCTGGTAAGGAAACACTCCCTTTGTCCAGAGGAGAAAGGGAGGGAACGTCGACGATCAAGTCCTGGACTATGCCTGATCGTCGGAGGCTTTTCCCGACTCGGGGGAATCACCCACGGCTACTAGATAAACCCATCGTCCTTGGCGGTTGTTGTTGTTGCCACGGTTGGTGTTGTTGTTGTCGCCGTAGATGGGGCACTCCTTTGCATAATGTCCAGGTTGGCGACAGCGACGGCAAGCATTGTTGTTTTTACACCATTCGCGTTCCTGAGGGGTCAGGGAAGGGGGATTACCGTTGTTGTTGTTTGTTTCGGGGGCCGTTGTTATTATTGTTGTTGCGGTTGTAGTTATTGTTATGACCCATGTTTCTCTCTAGGCGATTAAATCGTTGGGTGATATTGTTGAGGGCGATCTGGATGTTGTCGATTTCCATGGGGGTGGCTTGAGAGAGAGCGGAGGAAGAGGTGAAGGAAGAAATAATGGGGGCGGAGGCGATGGCGAGCGAGTTGGTCTTGGGGCCGGTGTCGGGTTTGAAGGAGTAAATGCGGTCCATCTCTTGGGCGTATTGAAAGATCTGAATGAGGGTGATATTGGGGTTTTGAATAATGTGTCCTTCGATCATCTGTTGAAGAACCAAGGGGCAGTTGTCGATAAAGGATGTTTGGGCAAACTCGTTGACCGTGGTCTTGGCAGCGTCGGTGGAGGCATAACCAAGGAGGGCGCCCAAAAGTTCCTTGAATGTAGAGAAGTAGGTCGAAAAGTTGGTGGTCATGCGAAGATTGGTGAGGTGTCGTCGACAGGAGCCCGCAAAGTTGTTGGGAGGCCTTTCAGGTCCAAGTTATCATATGGTGTTTGTTACATCTCTGTAGATCTCGACAATATCCATAGCGACTATGGGATGAGAATGTATATATGATACCAAGCATATAAGACAACCATTGTAACATTTTTTGTTCAACTATCCTACTAAACACCAACCTATTCTCCAAACAACAAAGTCTTCTTATTTTTCGCACACCACACTCTTGAATATGTCCATCTACTATTAACCTGTAACCCTCACTGCAAGATTCGCCAGAGTAGTTCTTGTATGTCATCATCTAAAGCACTTGTACTCTCAACTGTATCTTTGGGGCGAAATACAGGGGAGAGATTACATTTTAAAAAAACATGTGCTGTCTATTGCTATTTTATTCTGTGTTCTGTTGCCCACTATGAAGAGATATGTCAGTTATGGAAGTAAACACTCCGTTCCTTGGGCTTTGGATATTTTTTATATGCCTTTTTATATCCTCTGCACATGAAGGGGCCGCTACCGAAAAAAATATAAAAATATATTTGTATTCTCAACTATGTGCTTGCTATATGATAGATACCATCCTACATGCTGTTGTGTATGCAGTTAAGTATAAGCCTTTTTAAAAAATTGTTATTGTTGGTTAACGTCATGACAATCCAATACATAAATATTATTATGGATCTAACAAAACACTTCCAACAACTGCTTGATGACCATTGGACTTTCCTCAACGCTGGATGGCCAACAATTACACCACGTAATAATCATCGTACTGTAAGCAAGGAAATTGGGTATATGCCAGAAATAAAAGAAACCCTAAATCGACGCCTTGGTCCTATTCCAGTGTACTTCTTTCTTGTTGACATCTGGCCAAAGGTTAAGTATCCTGGTCCATACAAAGAAGTGGAGAAAGGTCTTTTAATGCTCTATCATCTTGTCAAAGGACTGTCTATGGAAGCAATGGAACCACACATGCCAAAAAGTAGTTTTCATGCAATGCACTCTGTGTTTTATAAGAAAGAATATACTTTGCACAACAAGTACATCACCAACTGTATTGCAACAATGTTCTCCACAATTAAAATACGCCTTTTGTCTGCAAAGGAAAAGAATCCTCCATTATTTAAGCATGTTACATTGCATCTTGATGGTCATGATACAAGAGCAACATACAAAGGTGAGAGTAGTGCTGATATGTACTCTTACAAGCTGAAAAAGTCTGGATTACGCACACAGGTAGCAATGGATTGTAATGGCATGGCTTTATTTGTCTCCAAATCTGCATCTTGCAAGAACAATGCTGATGGAACAATGCTGCTAACGATGAAGTTGGACAAGAGAGTGCATGAGATGGATTGCATTGCTCTCGATGGAGGGTATCCACAGTTCTTAAGGAGGCTTATAGATGAGTCTGATATTCTTAGAGTCCAAAATTTCGCTCATCCATACCGTAAACAGAAGAACAAGGAACTTACACAGGAAGAAGCGTTATACAATACCACCTTTGGTAGTTTCCGCTCGCAGATGGAATCTCTGTTTGCAGACCTTGGTTCCACATTTGAGAAACACAACAACCGTACTCCTGTGTTGGTGGATAAGAAACAAACATATAATTTGCAGTTGAAGTTATCTTTGTTACTCTTAAACATGAAAAAGATGGTTGCTTTGTTGAAGATTTCTGCAGAACCAATTCATACAGCTTGGCTTCGCGAAGGATTCGAGTATCCGACAACAGAGAACGACGTTGAGCAACCAATGGGATATGTTGATGTTGGTGCGCTAGTGGAGGATGGAAATACAATGGCACAACTCCAGAACAAATTTCTTGGTATTAATCTTCATGGTGATGTTGATGAGGACCAGTACTCTGATGAGGACACACCAATGGATCCACCAGTAATACTGCAACCCGGCCTTTCCATTGCGCTTTGAGGTACGTAGTACGAAGCGACAAATGGATGTTAATGGTAATTTGTAGACTTATTGCAGGTTTTTAAAAGAATAGACATACATAGCCTATTTAGTCTGCGTTGAGATACGGTATTAACTGCCTAGACGCTAATATGCACCGGTATCTATTATTAAAAGCCATGGTATTATTGTAGTAGATCGGATGCTATTCTATGCTATTCTACAGCATTCCTTTTTATTTAACTAAGAGGATAAACACATGTACAAACCTACGTCATAAAATAATACTACATTCTTAACCATTTTTAAACCCCGTCTTTAATGCCAAGCAGTCTTAATAAGCAAGATCTACGTCATACGAGGAACACTACATTATTAACCACTTAGATGCCTTTTTAAAACTCTTTTGTTACTAAGCGCCAAGCAGTGCTAAGCGGCCCCTTCATGTGCAGAGGATATAAAAAGGCATATAAAAAATATCCAAAGTCCAAGGAACGGAGTGTTGACTTCCATAACTGGCATATCTCTTCATAGTGGGCAACAGAACACAGAATAAAATAGCAATAGACAGCACAAGAATTTTTAAAATGTAATCTCTCCCCTGTATTTCACGACAAAGATACAGTTGGGAATACAAGTGCTTTAGATGATCACATACAAGAACTACTCTGTCGAATCTTGCAGTGAGGGTTACAGGTTAATAGTAGATGGACATATTCAAGAGTGTGGTGTGCGAAAAATAAGAAGACTTTGTTGTTTGGAGAATAGGTTGGTGTTTAGTAGGATAGTTAAACAAAAAATGTTACAATGGTTGTCTTATATGCTTGGTATCATATATACATTCTCCTCTAATGGACGCGGTGGATATCGTCAAGATCTGCAGAGATGTAACAAACACCATATGATAATTTGGACTTGAAAGGCCTCCTATTAACCTGTAACCCTCACTGCAAGATTCGACAGAGTAGTTCTTGTATGTGATCATCTAAAGCACTTGTATTCTCAACTGTATCTTTGTCGTGAAATACAGGGGAGAGATTACATTTTAAAAATTCTTGTGCTGTCTATTGCTATTTTATTCTGTGTTCTGTTGCCCACTATGAAGAGATATGCCAGTTATGGAAGTCAACACTCCGTTCCTTGGACTTTGGATATTTTTTATATGCCTTTTTATATCCTCTGCACATGAAGGGGCCGCTTAGCACTGCTTGGCGCTTAGTAACAAAAGAGTTTTAAAAAGGCATCTAAGTGGTTAATAATGTAGTGTTCCTCGTATGACGTAGATCTTGCTTATTAAGACTGCTTGGCATTAAAGACGGGGTTTAAAAATGGTTAAGAATGTAGTATTATTTTATGACGTAGGTTTGTACATGTGTTTATCCTCTTTGTTAAATAAAAAGGAATGCTGTAGAATAGCATAGAATAGCATCCGATCTACTACAATAATACCATGGCTTTTAATAATAGATACCGGTGCATATTAGCGTCTTGGCAGTTAATACCGTATCTTAAAGCTGACTAAATAGGCCATGTATGTCTATTCTTTTAAAAACCTGCAATAAGTCTACAGATTACCATTAACATCCATTTGTCGCTTCGTACCTCCAAGCTCAATGGAAAGACCGGGTTGCATTATTACTGCTTGATCCATTGGTGTGTCCTCATCAACATTAACATCAACATCACCATGAAGATTAATACCAAGAAATTTGTTCTGGAGTTGTGCCATTGTATTTCCATCCTCCACTAGCGCACCAACATCAACATATCCCATTGGTTGCTCAACGTCGTTCTCTGTCGTCGGATACTCGAATCCTTCGCGAAGCCAAGCTGTATGAATTGGTTCTGCAGAAATCTTCAACAAAGCAACCATCTTTTTCATGTTTAAGAGTAACAAAGATAACTTCAACTGCAAATTATATGTTTGTTTCTTATCCACCAACACAGGAGTACGGTTGTTGTGTTTCTCAAATGTGGAACCAAGGTCTGCAAACAGAGATTCCATCTGCGAGCGGAAACTACCAAAGGTGGTATTGTATAACGCTTCTTCCTGTGTAAGTTCCTTGTTCTTCTGTTTACGGTATGGATGAGCGAAATTTTGGACTTTAAGAGTATCAGACTCATCTATAAGCCTCCTTAAGAACTGTGGATACCCTCCATCGAGAGCAATGCAATCCATCTCATGCACTCTCTTGTCCAACTTCATCGTTAGCAGCATTGTTCCATCAGCATTGTTCTTGCAAGATGCAGATTTGGAGACAAATAAGGCCATGCCATTACAATCCATTGCTACCTATGTGCGTAACCCTGACTTTTTCAGCTTGTAAGAGTACATATCAGCACTGCTCTCACCTTTGTATGTTGCTCTTGTATCATGACCATCAAGATGCAATGTAACATGCTTAAATAATGGAGGATTCTTTTCCTTTGCAGACAATAGGCGTATTTTAATTGTGGAGAACATTGTTGCAATACAGTTGGTGATGTACTTGTTGTGCAAAGTATATTCTTTCTTATAAAACACAGAGTGCATTGCATGAAAACTACTTTTTGGCATGTGTGGTTCCATTGCTTCCATAGACAGTCCTTTGACAAGATGATAGAGCATTAAAAGACCTTTCTCCACTTCTTTGTATGGACCAGGATACTTAACCTTTGGCCAGATGTCAACAAGAAAGAAGTACACTGGAATAGGACCAAGGCGTCGATTTAGGGTTTCTTTTATTTCTGGCATATACCCAATTTCCTTGCTTACAGTACGATGATTATTACGTGGTGTAATTGTTGGCCATCCAGCGTTGAGGAAAGTCCAATGGTCATCAAGCAGTTGTTGGAAGTGTTTTGTTAGATCCATAATAATATTTATGTATTGGATTGTCATGACGTTAACCAACAATAACAATTTTTTAAAAGGCTTATACTTAACTGCATACACAACAGCATGTAGGATGGTATCTATCATATAGCAAGCACATAGTTGAGAATACAAATATATTTTTATATTTTTTTCGGTAGCGGCCCCTTCATGTGCAGAGGATATAAAAAGGCATATAAAAAATATCCAAAGCCCAAGGAACGGAGTGTTTACTTCCATAACTGACATATCTCTTCATAGTGGGCAACAGAACACAGAATAAAATAGCAATAGACAGCACATGTTTTTTTAAAATGTAATCTCTCCCCTGTATTTCGCCCCAAAGATACAGTTGAGAGTACAAGTGCTTTAGATGATGACATACAAGAACTACTCTGGCGAATCTTGCAGTGAGGGTTACAGGTTAATAGTAGATGGACATATTCAAGAGTGTGGTGTGCGAAAAATAAGAAGACTTTGTTGTTTGGAGAATAGGTTGGTGTTTAGTAGGATAGTTAAACAAAAAATGTTACAATGGTTGTCTTATATGCTTGGTATCATATATACATTCTCATCCCATAGTCGCTATGGATATTGTCGAGATCTACAGAGATATAACAAACACCATATGATAACTTGGACGTGAAAGGCCTCCTAATGTTATGCACCGTTGTGGCCAGTGCAAATGTATGTTCATCTTTTCCATCCTTAGAAACGTCTACATTAGAAGATGGCTCTGCATTTTTGGGCATCTCTGAATGCCTTTTCTTTCGAGAAGTCTTCTTCTCATCATCCTTAGATGACTTTTTATGAGATAGTTTTTCATCAGGGTTATCCTTAGAGGTATCATCTCCAGATTCTACATCAGGTCTGTTATTGGACTTGCCATCATCAGAGTCTTTATCATCAGGGGAATCATCGTCAGAGCCAGCATCATCAGACGTATCACCATCATCTGTATCATCGTCAGAATTCTCATCAGCAGAAGACTCTTCTATTTTTTCTACATCAGCAGGAGTTGCCTCTTGGAGTCCCATCTTTTGTAATATACGTACCTCTTTGTCAGATAATTTCGGTACAGGAAGATTTTTCCCCATGAGCTCAGGTGGACACAATACAATGTAGAGGTCCTTTTCCTTCAGCTTAATAATGTACTTGCCATTTACAGTATAGTTTTTTGCATACAGGAAAGCTGGATTAGTTGCATAACGCATCCATATGCCTGTATTAGCGAGTGGTACATTTTTCTTGGACGTTATGTCAACTACCTTTGGACTCAACGGAAAGGAGACGGCAATTATATCTTCTTCATCATCATCGGACGGCTCCTCATCCGATGACTCCTGCTTGTTTCTCTTTCGCTTCTTTGGTTCTTCATCCTCGGAAGTCATATCATCATCTGAAGGGACAAACTCAGGAGTATGTGTCTTCTTGGTTATCTTGGAAGACTTGGTACGCTTGTTGGCAGGTGCCTTATTTTTACTGCTTTTCATATGACCTTTATGCTGCTCTCGATGACGTCCACAGTATGTTTCACCAAGTTTGGCTACACTACCACAATTAGCGCCCTTAATGGTTGTGCCTTGACACTTGCGCGCAGGATCGTGGACATAACAATGCATGCCTTCATCATCAACTTCCTTCATGCATTTGCGCTTGGACTTGGTGCACTTTGCACCACAAAAGTAGTATCTCTCTACTCCCTCATCCTCATCAAGCGCCTTAAAGATCTTATTTGCATCTTTCTTGGTAAACTCCACTCCCTTCTTAGAAGAAAATGTCTCGAAGGCCTTGGTGATGAGCTCGATTGTAAGCTGAACGTACTGCATGTTTTTGGATATGAACGATATAGATTGTACTTGTGGTATGGTGGGTGTGAATGAGCTTTCAGTTTATGTGTGGTAGATTGCAGCTGCTTAGTACACTGATATAAAGAATTGCAATAAAAGATGGTTGTATAGGTATGGATGGTTGTATAGATATGGATAATGGTTGGTTGGTTACTAGATAAGATAAAGATTAAGCAAGAGGGAAGTGGAGTCCTTTATTTATACTAATTCATGGGACACTGCCACACTGGATATTAATAGCGCTTGCTTATTAACACTGCTTGGCGCTTAGTAACAAAAGAGTTTTAAAAAGGCATCTAAGTGGTTAATAACGTAGTGTTCCTCGTATGACGTAGATCTTGCTTATTAAGACTGCTTGGCGTTAAAGACGGGGTTTAAAAATGGTTAAGAATGTAGTATTCTTTTATGACGTAGGTTTGTACATGTGTTTATCCTCTTTGTTAAATAAAAAGGAATGTTGTAGAATAGCATAGAATAGCATCCGATCTACTACAATAATACCATGACTTTTAATAATAGATACCGGTGCATATTAGCGTCTAGGCAGTTAATACCGTATCTCAACGCTGACTAAATAGGCTATGTATGACTATTCTTTTAAAAACCTGCAATAAGTCTACAGATTACCATTAACATCCATTTGTCGCTTCGTACCTCTAAGCTCAATGGAAAGACCGGGTTGCATTATTACTGCCTGATCCATTGGTGTGTCCTCATCAACATTAACATCAACATCACCATGAAGATTAATACCAAGAAATTTGTTCTGGAGTTGTGCCATTGTATTTCCATCCTCCACTAGCGCACCAACATCAACATATCCCATTGGTTGCTCAACGTCGTTCTCTGTTGTCGGATACTCGAATCCTTCGCGAAGCCAAGCTGTATGAATTGGTTCTGCAGAAATCTTGAACAAAGCAACCATCTTTTTCATGTTTAAGAGTAACAAAGATAACTTCAACTGCAAATTATATGTTTGTTTCTTATCCACCAACACAGGAGTACGGTTGTTGTGTTTCTCAAATGTGGAACCAAGGTCTGCAAACAGAGATTCCATCTGCGAGCGGAAACTACCAAAGGTGGTATTGTATAACGCTTCTTCCTGTGTAAGTTCCTTGTTCTTCTGTTTACGGTATGGATGAGCGAAATTTTGGACTTTAAGAGTATCAGACTCATCTATAAGCCTCCTTAAGAACTGTGGATACCCTCCATCGAGAGCAATGCAATCCATCTCATGCACTCTCTTGTCCAACTTCATCGTTAGCAGCATTGTTCCATCAGCATTGTTCTTGCAAGATGCAGATTTGGAGACAAATAAAGCCATGCCATTACAATCCATTGCTACCTGTGTGCGTAATCCAGACTTTTTCAGCTTGTAAGAGTACATATCAGCACTACTCTCACCTTTGTATGTTGCTCTTGTATCATGACCATCAAGATGCAATGTAACATGCTTAAATAATGGAGGATTCTTTTCCTTTGCAGACAAAAGGCGTATTTTAATTGTGGAGAACATTGTTGCAATACAGTTGGTGATGTACTTGTTGTGCAAAGTATATTCTTTCTTATAAAACACAGAGTGCATTGCATGAAAACTACTTTTTGGCATGTGTGGTTCCATTGCTTCCATAGACAGTCCTTTGACAAGATGATAGAGCATTAAAAGACCTTTCTCCACTTCTTTGTATGGACCAGGATACTTAACCTTTGGCCAGATGTCAACAAGAAAGAAGTACACTGGAATAGGACCAAGGCGTCGATTTAGGGTTTCTTTTATTTCTGGCATATACCCAATTTCCTTGCTTACAGTACGATGATTATTACGTGGTGTAATTGTTGGCCATCCAGCGTTGAGGAAAGTCCAATGGTCATCAAGCAGTTGTTGGAAGTGTTTTGTTAGATCCATAATAATATTTATGTATTGGATTGTCATGACGTTAACCAACAATAACAATTTTTTAAAAAGGCTTATACTTAACTGCATACACAACAGCATGTAGGATGGTATCTATCATATAGCAAGCACATAGTTGAGAATACAAATATATTTTTATATTTTATTCGGTAGCGGCCCCTTCATGTGCAGAGGATATAAAAAGGCATATAAAAAATATCCAAAGTCCAAGGAACGGAGTGTTGACTTCCATAACTGGCATATCTCTTCATAGTGGGCAACAGAACACAGAATAAAATAGCAATAGACAGCACAAGAATTTTTAAAATGTAATCTCTCCCCTGTATTTCACGACAAAGATACAGTTGGGAATACAAGTGCTTTAGATGATCACATACAAGAACTACTCTGTCGAATCTTGCAGTGAGGGTTACAGGTTAATAGTAGATGGACATATTCAAGAGTTTGGTGTGCGAAAAATAAGAAGACTTTGTTGTTTGGAGAATGTAGTTGTGTTTAGTAGGATAATCGCGCAAGGAATGTTACAGTGGTTGTTTTAAATGGTTGATATCATACATACACTCTCCTCTAATGGACGCAGTGGATATCGTCAAGATCTGCAGAGATGTAACAAACACCATATGATAATTTGGACTTGAAAGGCCTCCTATTAACCTGTAACCCTCACTGCAAGATTCGACAGAGTAGTTCTTGTATGTGATCATCTAAAGCACTTGTATTCTCAACTGTATCTTTGTCGTGAAATACAGGGGAGAGATTACATTTTAAAAATTCTTGTGCTGTCTATTGCTATTTTATTCTGTGTTCTGTTGCCCACTATGAAGAGATATGCCAGTTATGGAAGTCAACACTCCGTTCCTTGGACTTTGGATATTTTTTATATGCTTTTTTATATCCTCTGCACATGAAGGGGCCGCTACCGAAAAAAAATATAAACGTATATTTGTATTCTCAACTATGTGCTTGCTGTGAGATACAGTTGATAGATACCATCCTACATGCTCTTGTGTATGCAGTAAAGTATGAGCATTTTTAAAAAATTGTTATTGTTGGTCAACGTCATGACAATCCAATACATAAATATTATTATGGCTCTAACAAAACATTTCAAACAACTGCTTGATGACCATTGGACTTTCCTTGACGCTGGATGGCCAACAGTTACACCACGTAATAACCATCGTACTGTAAGCAAGGAAATTGGGTTTATGCCACAAATAAAAGAGACTCGGAATCGACGCCTTGGACCTATTCCAGTGTACTTCTTTCTTGTTGATATCTGGCCAAAAGTCAAGTATCCTGGGCCATACAAAGAAGTGGAGAAAGGTCTTTTAATGCTCTATCATCTTGTCAAAGGACTGTCTATGGAAGCAATGGAACCACACATGCCAAAAAGTAGTTTTCATGCAATGCACTCTGTGTTTTATAAGAAAGAATATACTTTGCACAATAAGTACATCACCAACTGTATTGCAACAATGTTCTCCACAATTAAAATACGCCTATTGTCTGCAAAGGAAAAGAATCCTGTATTATTTAAGCATGTCACATTGCATCTTGATGGTCATGATACAAGAGCAACATACAAAGGTGAGAGCAGTGCTGATATGTATTCTTACAAGCTGAAAAAGTCAGGATTACGCACACAGGTAGCAATGGATTGTAATGGCATGGCTTTATTTGTCTCCAAATCTGCATCTTGCAAGAACAATGCTGATGGAACAATGCTGCTGACGATGAAGTTGGACAAGAGAGTGCATGAGATGGATTGCATAGCTCTCGATGGAGGGTATCCACAGTTCTTAAGGAGGCTTGTAGATGAGTCTGATACTCTTAGATTCCAAAATTTCGCTCATCCATACCGTAAAAAGAAGAACAAGGAACTTACAGAGGAAGAAGCGTTATACAATACCACCTTTGGTAGTTTCCGCTCACAGATGGAATCTCTGTTTGCAGATCTTGGTTCCACATTTGAGAAACACAACAATCGTACTCCTGTATTGGTGGATAAGAAACAAACATATAATTTGCAGTTGAAGTTATCTTTGTTACTCTTAAACATGAAAAAGATGGTTGCTTTGTTAAAGATTCCTGCAGAACCAATTCATACAGCTTGGCTCCGCGAAGGATTCGAGTATCCGACGACAGAGAACGATGTTGAGCAACCAATGGGATATGTTGATGTTGGTGCACTAGTGGAGGATGGAAATACAATGGCACAACTCCAGAACGAATTTCTTGGTCTTGAACTTCATGATAATGTTGATGAGGACCAGTACTCTGATGAGGACACACCAATGGATCCACCAGTAATACTGCAACCCGGCCTTTCCATTGCGCTTTGAGGTACGTAGTACGAAGCGACAAATGGATGTTAATGGTAATTTGTAGACTTATTGCAGGTTTTTAAAAGAATAGACATACATAGCCTATTTAGTCAGCGTTGAGATACGGTATTAACTGCCTAGACGCTAATATGCACCGGTATCTATTATTAAAAGTCATGGTATTATTGTAGTAGATCGGATGCTATTCTATGCTATTCTACAACATTCCTTTTTATTTAACAAAGAGGATAAACACATGTACAAACCTACGTCATAAAAGAATACATAAACACATGTACAAACCTACGTCATAAAAGAATACTACATTCTTAACCATTTTTAAACCCCGTCTTTAACGCCAAGCAGTCTTAATAAGCAAGATCTACCTCATACGAGGAACACTACGTTATTAACCACTTAGATGCCTTTTTAAAACTCTTTTGTTACTAAGCGCCAAGCAGTGTTAATAAGCAAGCGCTATTAATATCCAATGTGGCAGTGTCCCATGAATTAGTATAAATAAAGGACTCCACTTCCCTCTTGCTTAATCTTTATCTTTGCGATAAAATAAGGTTTAGACTCACTTTGTAAGTAACGAGACAAGAAGAAGGTTGTATTAGGGCCCACCAGGAACGATCTCTTATGTCGTTCCTGGTGGCTTAGTTCTAGCTAGTTCATGTCTTCATCTATCTATGATCCACAAGGCAAATACGCAACAACTCCCTCCTAAGGGAAGG